GGGGAGAGGTAGGCATTGGTGGGTGAGATGGGGGGGGAGGACGAGGTGATGGTGGCGGGGAAAAGTCCAGCTTGTTGTTGTTGTTGTTGTTGTTGGCCAGTAAGTGTGTGCACAGTGATCACCTGGAAGTGTGAGCCGCGGGTGTCCTGGAATATGGGACCACCTCCCAACCCATCCTCATGTCAATACTCCTAGCGCACCCCCTAGTATCCCACTATCCTACCTCAGTGTGGCCAGCACTCAGGACAATTGCCCTACCAACGGGCAGGCAACTTGGACTGAACAGCAGTGATAGGCACCAGGGCTGATAGCCCAGCCCTGTGGAAGCGGAATCGGGCGAACCTTGTCGAACGGGAACTTTGGACGCCAGGCCCAGACAATGAACTACAGGCCCCATATATAGCCACCAGACAGTTCTATTCAAATGTCAGTAGGAACTGCACCCAATGGCACCCTATCCAACCGACCTGAACCTACTGCAGGCACTAGACCCCACCAGTGACTAGCTCCCCAGCCTGTTTTTTGTGTGTATATTCTGTGAATCTATGTAAACAGTATCATGTGTGGAAACTTACGTATGTAACCCATAGGGGATATATAATTTTAATTATAAAAAAAAAAAAAAGGGGATATATAATTTGCAAGCTATGTGTGTATCCCCGAAAGCTATGTGTACTCTGTGATGCCCGAAAGCTATGTGTACTCTGTGATGCCCGAAAGCTATGTGTACTCTGTGATGCCCGAAAGCTATGTGTACTCTGTGAATCATGTGTGTGTATCGAGGAGAGAACGGGGCAAGGTGGACAAGGACCCCCCCCAAGGACCGAACCAAGCTCGAACCCGTAAACTTGTAACATGTAATCCAAGACTCTACCGTATGAGCAACTGCCGGAAATGGAACGAAAGTGTGATATGCCAGACTGGGGAGAACATCAGAACACCCGAGACCAACACCCCAAGCAAACCCTGTGAAACCCACAACCAACATACAACACCGTGGACTACCCTTGGGTGGTGCGCAGGCAGTGTCTGTAGTAGTACCATGCGTCAGCCCAAGGGGATGTGAGTCTGCCGTGCGCCAATCTAATGCCCTGCCGGTGTCCATGCCCAAGGCTGAAGGGTTTTGAACCCGCAACCTTATATCACAATGCGCATTTCCAACCGGTGCTCTAACCACTGAGCTACATCAACTGGACAAGTCCAGCTTGTTGTAGTGGCTGCCTACTACCGTCTTCACCCAAATAGAACGCCCGGTCATTACCACTGTACCTGGACTGCAAGTTGCACCAAATACGGCTATAATGACCGAGCGTTCTATTCGGGTGAGCGGTAGGCATATGTCAGGCCTGCCAGCACCTGACCATTTGATCATCCCGCTGTATTGCCTTTTCTTTTGGGGTGGGGTGGGGGGGGGAGGAAATAGCCCTTGTGCCAGCCCTCAATCCCAGTGGTGGTACGAGAACCGCCAGAATTGAGGGCTTGTCTGTCGGGCTGCTACATCTATTGGTGGGGAGCGGCACCCGCTGGAAACCAGGTCCAGCGTCCCATTTATACATCTTGTAAAACAGAAATTGTTGTTCGTCGTTTCCTGGGGCTGTGGTTATTTCACTTCTCGGTCCGGGGCTCCACTGTCCCATGGGGCTGCTAGTAACACCCATCCCATCTTGGAGCACCCCTTATCTACCAGCCCAGCCCTGTTCAGCAGGCCCCCTACTCGTTGTTTCCATGCCCGACCTTTTCCGCCCTTTAAACCCTATACCCTCTCTAAACCCATGCATAACACATTCTCGATCCATGAAGCCTAAAGATCTGCAATGAGATGGTCAGCGATGCAATGCAATGCAGTGCAATTGAACTCGAGAAAAAAAAAAGATTATGCCTATACAACTGCCTGGTCCCCTATGAGACACCCTCCCACCCTTAACTCATCATCAAGATCCCGACGCATGACCCCTTCCTATGGGTGGGGGG